CCGCCGTGTCGGACGAGCTCAGGGCATCAGCGCTGCCAAACCTCTGCTTGACGGTCGCCATCTATCTCCCCTCCTCTTCTTCCCACTCTCTCCCCTCTGCAACGGCACGGTTCGAGGATTCATCTTTCTTTACTTCAAAGTTCAGCACCTGCTAAATCCGCAACTGCTATTTATTTCCTTCTATCAGCTCAGAGCGTCTGTTACGCTTCCCACGTAAGCCATCAATTTCTGGCTCTTCTCTTTCCCTCACCCCTCGTCTAGTCGACGGTGTGTTGGCTTGGTTGTCTTGTCCTCAGAGATCGCTCGTACTTACACTACAAGATTTATAGCGTAACTACGCGATAACTTTCCAAATTTAACAAGATGTCACAGTCACCTCAGGGCGATATCCAGGAGCGAATTGCTGCCGCACGGCGAGAGGCCGAGAGTTTGAGGGAGAAGATCAGGGCAAGACGAGAGTCTTCGGCGGATACAAGCTGTAAGTTCTTTGCCACATATGTAGATATGTGTGGCCTCACAGTTTCTCGCAATAGTACGTGCAATGGCGGCTGAGGTTGCTGCTTTGCCGCGCATAGTAATGCGTCCACGTCGCACTCTGCGGGGCCATCTTGCCAAGATTTACGCCATGCATTGGGCTACCGATCGGCGACACCTTGTATCTGCTTCCCAGGACGGAAAACTCATCGTCTGGGATGCGTACACAACTAACAAGGTTCATGCCATCCCACTTCGGTCGAGCTGGGTTATGACCTGCGCTTACTCTCCGTCCGGAAACTACGTGGCTTGCGGTGGTCTTGACAATATCTGTTCCATCTACAATTTACACTCAAAGGAGGGTAATAATGTCAAAGGTGCCCGCGAATTGAGTGCGCACTCGGGATATCTTTCCTGCTGTCGCTTCCTCAATGACCGTCAAATTGTCACAAGCTCGGGTGACATGACCTGTATGCTCTGGGATATCGAGGCTGGTGTCCGCGTGGTTGAATTTAGCGACCATACCGGTGATGTTATGAGGTAAGTGATGTACTGATCATTCTTTTCTCTCATCCCTTATGTCTGTGAATTAGTTTATCACTGGGTCCCAACCAGAACGTATTCGTGTCCGGTGCTTGCGATGCTTCCGCCAAGCTTTGGGACATTCGTAGCGGCAAGGCTACGCAGACCTTTACTGGCCATGAATCAGATATCAATGCCGTGAAGTACGTCTGAGCGGTTTCGATACAAGCTCATACTAATGCGAGAGACTAGTTTCTTCCCCAATGGCGATGCGTTTGCAACCGGTTCCGATGATGCCTCGTGTCGTCTCTTTGACATCCGAGCTGATCGCGAACTGAACGCCTTCACTCACGATAACATTCTCTGTGGTATCACATCTGTGGCATTCTCCATCTCTGGCCGAATCCTTTTCGGCGGCTACGACGACTGGACCTGCAATGCATGGGACACATTGAAGGGTGAGCGGGTGGGGGTGTTGACTGGTCATGAAAATCGAGTCAGTTGTTTGGGAGTCAGTGCAGATGGCATGGCTCTCTGTACTGGGAGTTGGGATAGCACTCTCAAGGTACGTGCGGTTTTGCTACCTGCGTAGATCGATGAGTGACAATTTGTTCTCAGGTCTGGGCATAGTTGTCTCCCTTTACGACCACGATTACTACTGCCAATCTCTTCCGTGCCTCCAGGTTGTAGCTTGCCGCGTTAGGCTAACCAGAGATTTGTCATTTTATATGGGCAAGCCTTGCTTCTATTCTGTAACGTCTGTCCTTACGTGTCATTCTTTGCATCGTTCTGAATTTTTCGCGGAGTGTTTATTTTCTTGTAACTTCATGCTCGCCTCCTCGTACGGTTTTATCATATCCCTACAATTCGTTGCTCTCTTGTGTTTGCTTTTTTACACATACTGTTCTTCCAAAATGGCATAGCACAGTAACTATATGCTTCTACCTTGTCTTACAATTAACTTGAAAGTTGAGTTAAACGCTGAAGACCACGTGTCCCCACACGTTCTTCGCGACGCGCCGTGGCTGCGGTCGGCCACACTACTCTACGTCTACGTGCGAGTACTCAGTATCCAATACTCAGTACTCAGTGCTCACTGGCAGTACCAAGTTTTGAAGCAATCTGTCAAGGATATTTTCCCGTTCTCTGATAGGAATATGTCGGAAGATGATCGCGCTGCAAAGGCTGCGCGGGCGCGTGCAATGGTAAGCAGTGTGCTTGGTTCATCGAGCACTGCAGCACCACTTATGCTCGCGGGCATTCATGCTCATTAAATTTACAGCTCAAGAAGCGACAGCAACAGAAGGTGACCGGGACAGGCCTTTCTGCTGCCAGTCCTACAATCTCATCACCTCTCTTGTCGCCGGCACGAGCCTTTTCTCCAGCACCATCTGAAGTGGTGGAAGAGAGGAATGGACGAGACATAGGCGACCTGTAGGTACATAAGTATATTTCATCACTAAGTGTATTTATCTCACCCCAGTCGCTATATAATTATCATTCCAGATTCTCGAATCGTCCTCAAGGTGAACGAGCGGACGGGACCTGGCTTTCGTCATTAATGCGCGCTGAATCTAACCAATCACGTCCGTCATCTCCCTCTCTTGCGGCAATGTCTCTACCTGTCCCAATCCCTTCGGCTTCGGAGGGACAGTCACAGTCGGGACCCTCTGCCTCTACACCTGCTACCAATGACCGGCAAGAACTACAGGATTTAGTCAAAGAGCAGCAACGTACCATATCGACCTTGGAATCCGAGAAGGCGTTTTTGTCCACTGCCATAGAGACTTTGAAGCAGGCTGAATCTAGTGGGTGTATTCATCGTAACAATGTCGTATTAACTGAGCGACTTTATTAGAATGGCAGCATGCCGATACTGTACTTCAAGAGGAACGTGAGAAATCACGACACGCCACAGAGTCTTTGAAACGCGCGGAAGTGGTCCTTGAGGAGTTAAATCGTAAGAATGAAGGACACGAAGCAACTATTGCCTCACTCAAATCAGAGCAAGCTATCTTTAAACGGTCGGTGGAACTTCTTGAGGTAACGCAATCGAGTAAGTTGTAATTTCCATCCGCCAAGCTGGCCCTTGACACTTGATAGAGGTCCAGGTAGCCGAAGAATATCTACAAGCTGAAAGAAATGCCGCGCAGGCTCTACGAGGACGCATACACGAGCTACAGGAAGTCGAAGAGGGACGTTCACATCATGTAGAAGAGCAGCGACAAACGATATCCTTGTTAGTGTCAGAGAAGGCAGCTTTGACATTGTCATTGCAACATCTCCAGGATGTGGAGCTGAGTGAGTTTCATACCACACCTACTATTGATCTGCATACATATTCCATATAGGATTACAGGAAACGGAACAACAGCTACAATCAGAGCAAGAACGCTCTGAACAACTTCAAGCGTCTGTTTCTCGCCTGGAGACAGAGAACGAAGACTGTTCAGCTACAATTCATGAGCTTTCAGCGTCGGAGAAGCAGCTAGCGGACAGATGTCGAGAGCAAGTCAGTATAGCAACGCTCTTGACTGACCGAATGAATGGCTGACAAATTTGACCAGGAGCGGGAGCTGCAGCTTCTTAACGGTGCTATGACAGATTTACGCTCACAGGCTGAACAAGCTGAACGTCGAGTGCGCGAACTAGAAGAGCAGATCGAAAGCGACGATCGCGCAGAACGACTGGAGGCCATGCTTCGCAACACTCAGGACCGCGCGGATGAATTGGAATTTCAGTTGTCAAAGTTACAGCAGGTGCGTCCATTTAGACCTTCATTTAATACTCGCAATGCTCATGCCCCAATAACAGGCTCATTCTACGCTCAAGGCTGATCGAGACAATTTGGATGGCCATGTCCGCCAACAGGCTGGTGCTGAAGAGGAATGGCGCCATCGTCATGCACAAATAGAAGAGCAGCACACGGCAACTCAGGAAGAGCTATCTATCGTTAAAGCAGAACGACAAACTCTGCTCCTGGACAAAATGAATCTCGAGTCACAGCTGAAGGGAAATGACAGTACTGTTGCAGAACTCGAACACAAACTCGCTGGTATCGCTACGCAGCTTGCTAACGGAGCCAAGCAGTTACAGCATACGCAAGCTGAGCTCAAGAGTGCCAACAAACGAGCCGAAGAGGCGGAGCGCATACAAGGGGAGTTGCAGACCGAAGGTGTGGGCTTGATGCGCTCTCTCGACGAGATGCGTCCTAAAATTGTCGAGCTGACCGATGCCAAGTTGGAATTAGGAGAAAAGGTGGAGAGCCTCGAGAATGCCGTTCATAGCCGGGATGCTGCTATTGCTAAGCTGGGAGCCGCTGTGGACGAGCTGCGGGCAGAGAAGGAGATGGTCGAGGGAAGATGGCAAGCCGCGACTGCTATGCTGGAGAAGGAGCGCAAGGCATCGCTTGACAACGACACCGCGATGCGAGAAACGTATAACTCGCTCAGAACCGAGCTGGAGGACTCGATGGTAACTGTTCGTGCTCTCGAGAACGAGCAGACAAATCACCGTCAGATCATAGACCGCCATGTTACCGAAATCGACAATCTTTCCTCAGCTCTACAAACGCACATGGACCAGCTCTCGTTGCTCAGAGATGAGCTGGATGAAAGTCGCCGCGCGCGGGACGATGCACAAGTGTTCCTCGAGCAAGCGCAAGCAGAGATGGGTAGTCTCCGTGCTGAGGTCCTGTCAAAAGACAAGGAGATTGAAAATCTCCGCCAAACCAACTCGGTGCCCTCTACACCCGCGTCGCAGTCCCTGGACGAGGAGATGGTTAGCGCTCTCAAGCAACAACATGCCCTTGAAATTTCCGCTGCTCAGTCCCAAATACGGAGTCTGGAAACTGTCGTTTTCGAGGCCGACGCACGGGCGCACAGCCTCCAGAAGCAGGTCGCGGCCTTAGAGGATCAAGTCGTGCATCTCAGGTCATCGTCACGGGCATCAGCACGCTCTCCTGTGCCGCGCCGGCCGTCAGTTCGTCCTGTCGACATCTCAGACGACCTGCGCAGAGCCTCCTTCGTGTCGCATCGCCCGTCGCATCTCGCCGCGACGCCAACCACGCCGTCAGCATTTGATGGTCTGTCCCTAGAGGCACAGCATAAGCGGCGGGTCAGCTTGAGCATGCTGAAGGCCCGCATGGACAGCGAGGTCGCCGCCTCCACCGGACTGACTCCTCGGACGCCGTCTAGGCTTGGCTCTCCAGCACAGCGGACTGCCACACTCCCATCAGTCCCTGAGCCTTTATCACCCGTGGTGTTGTCACCCGTGCACATGAGAAAGCCCCAATTCATGGATGATGCACACATCTTCTGGTGTCACTGTTGCCAGGGGGATCTCGTCATTCTATAAAACCAGCGATATACTGACAAAATGATGATCACTGATAATGTACACGATGTTATGCACGTAAAGGATTAAATGCGCGCAGCGCGGGTATAACTGCAAATTAATGGTTCGTAAAATATGCGAATGCCAAAGTCCGAAGCGACGAGAGTGAGTAGATGCAATGACAGATATTTGTGAATATGGTCAAGAAAGGTTGTTGCGCTTCGTCTTCAACTTGACAAGCTTCTGTAGTAGATCCTGAATAGCCGGAATTTAACCTGACTGCAAACCACGGGATCCTCATTTACTTACCTGAACTTCATCTGGCTTCAAAGTACCCTTACCGCTTTCTTCCTCAAGCCCTTTCTCGATGCTGTCAAGAATCTCACTCATGAGATCGCGGTAGTTGACTCCAAAGAACTGCGTCAACTTGGCCGCTCTGCGCCGACGCGTCTGGAACGCCGATTCTTGAGGAGGCGAAGGGAGGGCGCTCCACTCCGACGAAAGAGACGTCAGCGACATACGGGACGGCAAAGAACGTCTGCGCTCGGCCTTCGTAGTTGGGGTAGAGATGACAAGAGGCTCGTCCTCCGCAGGAGACTCCTCAAACAGGTCGTTCCTACTGCTGAGATAGTCGTGCAGCTCCGCCAAGGACTGCTTGTCATCCTAGCAAAGGAATACATGATGAGCTAATCTACATACAGAATGTACGCACGAGACTTACCCTGTCAATAATGTCATTAAGGGAATTCAACGAGTGCCTATAATGCAGATACACGTCGGACAAGGGAGCAGACAGCGGTCGATCCCATTCAGCGTTCACTGCATGGTCTAGCAGCGGCTCGGAGGATTCGGCCGTCCCGGGGCGGCTGCTTTTCTTCGACTTGCCTTTGTATGCAGACTGATTGCGATTGCGGGTGCCGGGGGATACGGGACTACGGAGCGGCTCCATGGGAGAGTAGTGCTGTTGCTGTTGTAGTAAGGACTTGGCACCAGCAGACCCTGCGTTGCCGCCCACTGATGGCACGGCATGCCGAGTGTGGTATAGCACCTGGGGCGGCGCCACGCCAAACATCTGCGGGGAATGCGTCAATATGCATACTCTGCAGACAAGAGGAATGGAGAACTAGGCACGCGCCTTCTCCATCTTGACCGCTCTCCGCACGTTGATAGCCTTCTCCCGGTCGTTCAGATCGTCCTTGAGTCTGTCGATCTCGTCGGACCAGGTAGCAGAGAACTCGGCGGCGGAACTGCTCCGCCTGCGGCGCACACGGAGCCTGCGAAATTCGCTCTCATCGAACATATCCTGGTTGGCTGCGGAGGAAGCGGGCGGGGGTAGGGGTACGCCTTCGTCGAGAGGCCCCAAGACGAGGTGGACAGGTATGCGAGATCCGAGAAAGCGGTGCAGCTTTGCCAGCTTTTCTCTCTTGCGACGGCGCTCGACCTCGGCCTGGTGCTCAGAGGAGAAGCTCTCGATGAGGGAGGGGGTGGATGGGGAGCGCAGATGAGGGGGGCGACGAAGGAACTTGGGAGTTGCAGCGGAGAGGGCGTCGTGGGGGGTTTCATCGTCTGACAGGTCTATGAAGGACGTCGGAGAGGTAGAAGCGTGATGAGCGTGACCGGGATGGCTATCCCAGTCGCTCTCTGGGACGCCTTCCTGAGAGCCTATCTCGATCACGTGGGGAGCGTCTTTGCTGATGGTGAGAAACGAGTGCGAGTCGTCCGAGTAGGCCATCGAAGACAAGTCCCGGGGACTCAGCGGAACCGACCGTCTCCGGCCACTGAGGGGCGACAGAAGAGCCGCATCCTCTCCTGGCGGCCATACGAGCCGTTTCTGCGCATCGTACACGGGCACAATGGGATCGTGTAGCATCGATGCAACCTGCTTGTGTCGCCGTTTGGATAGCCCCGGCCCCTTGCCCCGTCCGCTCTTAGGCAGACACCCGTTCGCCAGATCCACGTCAACCGGCGCAGGAACAGACCCTGGTGTCTGCCCGAACACTTGTGCCAGCTTCCGCGTTTTGCGAACAAGCTCGGCACGCTCCTCTGGGCGCAACAGATTAGTAGTTGACGGCATACCACGCAGTGTGCGCTCTGCGTCCGCTCGGGGACCACACAACGGACTGGGCGCGTGATCGCCATCAGAACGGGTCTTTTGTAGCGGTGAATGTGCTGATTGGGAGCGTCTGAAGTTCGGTTTCGGGGTTGTAGGTAAGGGAGGTTTTGCAGACGCCGATGTGGACAGTCTGGGGAGGTGAGGCTTCGCAGAAGATACATGGGCGGCATTAGGGGCTTCGCTAGAATACGATTGGAGGACGGCCCGTTCGTCTGAGGCGCGCATAGAAAGCTTGTGAGAAGGCTCGTGAGATGATGATACAGGCGGTGAGAATGTGGGCGAAGTTAAATCAATAAAAGAGTCGTTATCGTCGTGCATGGCGGTCGACCGGTCGAATGCGTTGCGCGGAGAAGAATCGAATGAGTGCTGACTAGAAGGATATATGGTACTGGAGATGCTGATGTGCCGTTCTGTGGAGGCGGAGGGGGGTTCGTAAGAGGAGGAGGAGGGCAGGCTGCGCAGAGACATGTCGGACCCTTCGCGGGCGTGGGAAAGTGCCGAGGGTGATGCGTCTGCGCGATTTATACTCGCCGCCTCTGCTGCTGCCGACAGCCTCGAGAACGGCCGTCCTGCAGGCAGACGCGGCCACGACACAGGCGAGCTCGTTCCAAGTCCGACATCTGAAGCCAGGGCAACTGCTCCCAACAAATATCGGTATCAGTATCCTTGTGCGATGTCATGGAAACAACCCACCCGTCGGCGAGCTGGGTGCACTCGCACTCTGCTCTCCTCCCTTCCCTCTTTCCAGCACCCGCAGGTACTGCCGCAGCAGCTTGTCTTTGCCTGCCTTCTCCGCTAGTTTTGTTGGCGACATGTCCACATCGCTCGCCCGCCGACTCGACCGCAGACTGGCATCCGACAGCTTCGCCAGTGGCCTCTTGCTCTTCGCCAGCATCTTCTCGACGCGCTGCAGTGACGACAGTCCGCGCTGGTGGCGCACCCCTTCAGATCGTGCCGAGGTCGGGGACGCCGAGGCAGGCGAGGCCTGCGCATTGTGCACATCGTGCGACGATTCATGACTTAGGCTGCCCGAATCAGGCGACGACGCCTGGCCTTCGTCGGCACTTGCAGGAGAGCCTTTGCGCAAGATGAGAGAGAAACGAGGTACCGGATTGATATACGGGTTCAGGGTTGGGGGCTCTGAGCGGCCGAGCAGCTGCGAGGACGACGACGGCGAGCTCGGGAGAGACACCGACACCTGTGCACCTGCTGCCGCTACTACATTGTGAGCCATTTTCGGTCGGCTCCTGGACCGAGGGGGCGGTGGCAGGCCTCCCTCCGAGGTGGGCAGCGGTGTTCTGGAGACATAGCTTGGACCTAGCTGGCGCGTGCGCTCGTCGTACTCGAGCGCGGCAGTGAGGTCTGAGACGATGAGGAGAGAACGAGAGCTGGCAGCGGCCTTGGTTCGTACGGAACGCTCGAGCACCTCTCCTGGCGCATGTTGGCGTATGGGAACGGCTCCTGGGGCATCCTGAGTGGTCATCTCTGGCCGTGAAATTCGTGACAAAAGGGCGAAACCAGTGGAGATGCCTGGCGAGAGAAAGCAAGGCGGATATCGTGGACGAAGCACGGAGAGAGGGAGCTACTATCGATACTGAGCGGCAGGGGCGTCCGCCTGGAGATTGGCCCGGGCAGCAGGCCGTCCACGTGCCCGAAGGATTGATAGGCTCGGCACCGCTGTCGTCGTCTCAATGGCAACCCCCTGCCATCCCCACACCCTCCGTCTGTCCTCGGCCTGTCTGTCTTCGCCTACCAAGTTCGTTCCAACCGCCCTGTCCACTTTTCAAAACCGTCTACCTACTGCTCCCAGCCAGCCTCCTCTCGCCATCCTGCACTCAACCCTCGTATACCCTCGTTTGCGCCTGCACCGGCGGCATCTGGATCGCGGAATCTCAATCTCTCGCATCCACGGATACAGATTTTGCCCAAGGCCTAGCCCATTTTGATCGTGCCCGCAATTAAAGCCCGCAACGCTAAATCCAACTGG